GGTTTGGGCGGGCGGGAGGATGAATTGAAGACGGGTGGGAAAATTAAAACGACAGAGTTTGGTTGAAGACATAACTAGGGATGACGACAAAGTTCGTCTGTTGCTCGACGACGGAACTCAGGACAACTGAGCTTGACGACGCAGCTCGGGATGATGGAGGTCGGAGGCTCGAAGCTCGCGTGCTGCTAGCGAGGCTAGTTTTGTCAAGATGATGAGCTCGCGGCTTCGACGGAGCTCGACAGTCGACGTAACACGGGATGTCGCTTGACGACGGAGGTCAGGAAGGTGCTCGACATGAGACAAGTTGAGCTCAAGCTCGGGCTCAATATTTGATAGTCGAGCTCGACTCGACTCAGTTTGCAACCCTAGCTTCAACGCCCATGGCACTATTTTCCTCACTGTTCTTGCTACGATTTGTTTCTTTGCTCATCGTTCTATCAATTTTCCCTCGTCTTTCAGGAGTGGCTATGTCTCAAGGTTGAGGCAAATTATTAGGTTCGGTCACCGGACTTGATCACCGGACCTAAATTTGCATCCGGATCCATGCGCTTTTAACGCGCTTTTGATTTTTTTTTTTTGCAAAATGACAGCTAATATATATTTTTCATTGCATATTAGTTGACCTTTTACTTAGTATTTAAAAAGCACAGCAAAAGAGCAACAAATACTCCATGAGTGAGATATTTGTTGCGCTTTTGCTTTATTTTTGCAAATATTCAACAAAAAAGCAACTAATTAAAATTGTGTATTAAATGCCCTTTTATAAAAATACATCAAAATCACAGTAAAAGCAACGCACAGATTCCGAACTCAAAGCCTGTCATTTATAAACTCCGCTGCAGGAATCAAAACAGCGTCCTTCTTTGGTAAGGCCTTCTCATTGTATGAGATGTATTCCACGCGCAGCTCCTTCCGGCGAGGATCTGCCGGACTACAGGATTATCTGGGGTTGCACCAGTGGGTGATTTTCCCATATATATTGAGGAACTAGAGTAGGATGCCATGTAAATTTGCTGGCAAAACTTAAGTTTTGAGATGTGAAAGATCGAATGGGCAAGAAGGTTCAAGAGGGGTATGCTACAGGCCCGATTCGTTACATAACCTTATAGCGGCCATAGTAGCGACCATGGAGTTCGGAGTAGCTTTTGAAAACTGTCAAGAAAAAAGAAAAAATGACAAGGCACTCAAAAGAAACAATTATATTTCATAAAGATAAGAAATTGCATAAATCAATCAGAAATCTAAAGAATAAGACCATCAAGAAATCGAATGTTTGCCCTAATGAGATCTGAGGTTGTGTTGATATATGCAGTTTTATCTTTTACATCAAAAGTTATCTTTATGATTCAAACAAATGAACCTCAGGATCAAATGAAGGTAATCTAATAAAAATTCCAACCACATTCCCACTATTCTAAACTTGATCTGGTAACCTCATATGCCAAGAAACAAGCAGCATTGGCAGGAACACTTCTCGCCATAGCAGGACCAAAGCCTTTGTACAGTCCCTTGACACCTTCTGTTGCAAAGATCTTCTTGAAGGCATTAATAGAGCCAGAAAATTTTGGGTTTCGATAGTCATCCACCTGAATCACACTCTTAACGACATCAGTCGGATACACAAATGCCCAGAAAGAAGCACCGGCCAATCCTCCGGCTACAATCAGCGAGCCACGACCAAGCTTTGAGGTGTCTGGGCCACCGGCCAAGGTCTTCTTGAGGGCTTCGTAGACACCAAACATTGCAGCATTTCCAGGTACCTCTCTTGCTAAGGTCGGAACCAGACCTTTGAATAAGCCTCTTAGGCCACCTTCGGATCTCAGAACATGCCTTGCCACATCCATGGGTCCGCCATACTTAACGGCGCCTGTTGCGGCTGAGGATGATAAAGCACTTTGTGCCTGCAATCTGTTTCAAAGCTTTAGTAGAAGCAAACAAATGTATACTTGGTTTGAAGTGATTATGAAGATAAACAATAATTTGATGTACTCCAGATATTGACAAAGAATCTGAAAGAAAACTATTCATTTAAAATTGAAATACATACAGAATTGGACAAGTTTTTGTGTACATAAAATACGTTGATACAACGACAAAAGAATTCTTAATAACCAAACAAATAGACATTCTTATCATCCACAAGCACTTCAATTCCACTTCTAAAAACAAGGAGCTTAAATCTATTCAGCTTAGTTATGGAATTGAATTTGAAGGCAAGGTCTTTGTTATGCCGCCGGTTAACAACCGGCGCAGCCGGCCCAAGGGCCAGTTCAGGTTTATGGGAGGTGGAACTTGTCCGCTTACCTTGGTATTGTACGCCCACATGGTGGGCCCCAACTTGCCAAATAGTTT